ACTAAGGCAGAGAGGGCAGGCCGAGGGGGAGAGGGACCACGCTCTGCACTTTTTCTGTAGGCGGTCATGGGTGTTTAAGCTCCTGTGAACCACCGACCAAAGGAACACTTTTATCTTCTTTGGGAGCTTACATTTCCAAATGGTCTTAAGGAGGGGGGGCTGGAGGGTTTTACAAGGTTTGTTGATGTGAATGAAGGTAGCCTTAGTTGAGAAGGAACCCCCAGTATCAATATTAGTCTCCTAATCTAACTAACCGTGTCTAGTTTGTTTGTGAGGCCCAACCAGCTTTCAAATTCTCTGTCAAAAAGCCCTCTTCCGAAACCCAAGTCCCAGTCTTGATGCTCTGCATTCCAGCAACTATCTATTGTATCATCTTTCTTCATTGAAATGATATAGAGATCAGGAAAAGCTGCCTCTAGAGTTCTGTCCCCCACCCAGTGGTCCTTCCAAAATCTTATTTTCTGCCCATTGTGAGCTTTGAAGGTTACAAACTTAAGAAATAGGTTGATATTCCGAGCTATGTCAAACCAGGGCCTTCCTTTTGCAGCTCCCTTTGGCATGGCAGTCACCCATCCGTTAGGTTGAGTGCCATATATGCTGCCAACCATTCTCCTCCAAAGGGCTCTTTCCTCTTGGCTAAAGCGCCAAAGCCATTTGAGCAACAAAGCGTTATTCCGCTGCTTGAAAGAGCCTATGCCGAGGCCTCCGTGCGTGAGGGGAAGTGAGGTCCATTCCCAATTCACTAAGTGGCTACTTGGGTGAAACGCGCTCCCGTCTCAGAAAAAACCTCTCACATATTTTTCCATAGTTTTCAGTAGCAGAAGCTTTCAGAAGGGAAAAATAGTAGAGGGGCAAGCTATTAAGCACGGATTGTGCCATAGTGAGGCGGCCTCCCTTGGATAGGTTTAGATTCTTCCATTTAGACAACTTACATCTGAATTTTTCCACCATAGGCTCCCAAAACCCAATAGATTTAGCATTTCCCCCTGGGGGACACCCAGATACATGAAGGGAAGCTTTTCTGTTCTACAGCCAATCAGATTTGCAGTATCCTCAAGGATGGTCTCCTCAACATTGATCCCTATTAGAGAGGTTTTGTCAAGATTGATGGAGAGGCCTGCCCCATTGATGAACAGGGCGAGGAGACCCCACCAATCCATGATATCTTCGGAGTTTCCTTGGCTGAAAATTATAGTATCATCTGCATATTGAAGGTGGGTTAAAGCTACATTCTTTGCTCCCACCGAGAAGCCTTTAAGAATTTTTTTCTCATGGCAAAAGTGAACCAAACAGCTGAAAGCATCCCCAATAAGAGTAAAGAGAAAGGGGGAGAGGGGACAGCCATCTCTTTTACGTTCTTGTTTGCCTTAAAAATGGCTGTATGGTTTCGTGTGAGGTATTGCAAGGTGAAGCCAATCAAACCAAAAGTGTTTTTAGAAGCAATTTATCAGGATCTTCTTATAAATTATAGTTGTGACAATGTTGCAAATAATTATTGGGTAGATGAGGGTGTCATCAAGTAGTGCATACGCATGCTAGGGGGAGTATCGTTGGACAATGGGCGCCCTAATCACTGTTCAATATGGATTCAAATTCTCTATGTGCTCCGGAACTATTGGATTTGAAATACATTATGTAATTTCTTTCACATACACCAAATGGTGTAAAATTACCGGCCATATTGTGACGGCATTTCCAATAGTTTCTCGTTCCCTTGGAGTTAATGAGTACAGGTAGCTTTTCCGAGGATGTTATATCCACCATAATCTAGTTTGCTTTCTGAATAAAATAATTTTATGTCCATTTTTAATTTATTTTTGTATTATTTTATGTCAGTGGTGGTGAAAGAGACAAAAGTAACAATAATAATAGTTGACTTGAAATGTTTGGCTTCCTTTTATTTTTTCCTAATCATCCAAACTTGTTTCATTTGGTTTGTTTCGAATGGTATTCATTGACTTTATTTGATAGTTTGATGATGTTAGAAGAGACCAAGGTAAAGCATGAAGAAAATGTAACCCTTTTAAACAATTGTTTAGTTTCCAGGGCCATTTTCTTCTTTCTATGTTGGAGGGATGGTGTTAGTTATTATTGTAGAAATATACTTATTTGATTGATAATGTGAAGAATTTTACCTCTATATCATTGGAGTTACACCTATACTTGTTTTACATTTTCCCCTATTTTCTCATTAAATTTACATGCAATTTGGAATCCCAGTTTGATTAATTGTTTCTATTGATTCTCAAAATATTTGTCAGTTCTGTATCTGGAATGTATAAAATTGTCCGTCCAGCTGTTGGGGAGTCGCTAAGGTATTAAATTAAAGTGGTCATAACACTTCACTGTCTGAGCACACCCATATATGTATTGATCTTTTTACATTATTCTACAGGGAGATGTCTCTTACCGAGTTACGGAACAAGTATCGAAAAACATCATCATTAGAGAAGGCTCGTAGTGGGTGGGAAGATGAGTATAACATTTCATCGAAACAGGTAAAGATAATTAAAATTTTTTGGTTAAGTGCCTTAATAGCTTTCTTGTGGTTGGTTCAGGAAGAAAGGAACAAAAGAATTTCAACCATAAACGCAAGAGTTTTGCTGGTTTTTGTGATAATATAGAGTTTATGTCCTCTGGAGTGCCCTACAAAACACTTTTGTTATTCTACTTCTGCTATCAACTTAGATTGAGGGTGTTTTGTTCAATCCCACTTTTAGTCGAGAGGATTCCTAAGCTTCTTGGCCTTGAGGTTGCCCTGTACCTGTATATGGCAAGTGGTTTAGGTGTCTTTTACTAAAATTCTTCCTTAGAAAATTTAATCTTTGAACTATAACTTGGTTCCTTTTTCCCTTATGTTGCTAGTTGCCACCCAAACAGATGCCAGCATTTATGTTTAAATGTGTCATTGCTTGATGAACCATACATCAGTTTTTCCTATAACATATATTGTATCGTTGGATGATTTCCTCTTGTTGTATCAGTAACATTTTTAAATTAATACCTTCTCGCCAATGATTTTCTACCACTGTATCCAGTGCATGCACGGACCCAATTGTAAGCTAGGCAACTTTTGTACGGTAGGCAGGAGAATACAAGAAGTTAATGTTTTGGGTGGCCTTATCCTTCCAGTTTGGGGAACAATTGAACAGGCCCTTTCTAAACAGGTACGCTGGCTTTAACTTCCGAGTGATATTTATCTCATATGGGAGCTGGAATGAGATTTTTCCTTGTTCTCGTTTTGAATGTATGAAATTTTGAAATAAAAAGGTTTGGTGAATTAACATGTCCTTTCGTTTGCACCCATGCTATTACTATAATATTACCATCCATTCTTGCTGATTCCAACATCTTTTACATACCCCAACGCCAAACTTATCAACTAGGACTGTAATACCATGCTTCATGTCTTTGATTCAAGTATTAAAACTTGATAGGCATTGCTGGTCATTCAGTTTACCGTTTTAACTGTACTTCCTCAGTGTTACTCCGTCTCAACTCATCTTGTCAGTAGGAAAAGAAATTAATCTGCTTTGATTTCATATCCTAAATTGGTATGTTTCAATGGTATGGATTGGCAGTGACCAGATTTACCTTCTTCAATATGATTCTTTATAGGCACGCCAAAGTCATAAGCGGCTCCGTGTAGTACGTATAGAAACTACAACAGATAAACAGAGAATAGTTGGGCTGTTTGTCCCAAATGGAGCAGTTGAATCAGTGCTTCGAGGTTTCTCTCTCTCATACATTATACTTCTTGAGTTTTGTAGCTCGTTGTATAGTGTCCCTAAGAACCAACTGTTTTTTTTTTATTTGGAAAATTTGTTGCAGGTTTGGCATGGGTACAAGATGTAGATGATTGAAATCAAAGTAGGGATTACATTCTGGCCCCTGTAACATCTCTGCACTGCTCCTACCAAGAAGCTAAAGATTTTGGAGTTTGACGAACCATCAACATGCCGATTCTATTTTTTTCTGCACCGTGCAATGGAACTGTGCAGTCTTTATATAATTAATTTTTTTGGTACATATGATTTGTATATTGGCAATGCTACGTAGAAGATAGGAGATGCATTAGGTCATTGTTATCATCCCTCCTAATCTTGTTTTTTGTATGTCATTATACACCGTCACCGATTTACAGTATTTGGAAATAGAAAATCTCCCCCATTATCCTTTTTGTACATTTCTTTTCCTATTGGACTTACAAAAGTTCCATAGTTTGTGTTTACTCCAATACCCACATCTCATCTGACAGTGCCATAAATTTCCCAAGTCATAGGAAATGTCTTTCACCTGAGTCAGCCATTATGGTGATTTCAGAGCCACTAATTGTAATCTGTAAGGCCAACGGGTCTGTCGGACATGGACAATCAATGTAAGATTTTTATGCAGAATTTTAATTTTGACAGCCATGCTATTCAACCCACGTTACTAAGCCTCTGTTCTTTTGAACATTTTTTTAAGATGCTTCCTCAAATGGGGTTTGGGAAGATGGCTAAATATATGTATATATTTATTAGTGGTAGGGTGAAGATTTGAAAACTCGGACTTTAGGAGCAAAATACCTTAACTGCTGATCTATACTTGTGATGGTGGTTAAATATACGTTTGTCTCTAATGTTTGAGTGTTGTTTTAATTGATTTCTATAGTCTAAAATATTTAAATTTAGTTCTTTATTTTAAATGTTTTTTAATTTAGTCTCTGACCATGTGTCAATGTAATTGATAAATTACTTGACATAATACTTAACAGGTAAAATGTAATATATCTGTATATGAGGTGAAAGTTCCTAATTTCTTTCAATTCTAAGAAATTGGCAGAGTTTTCCCGTCATGATTATATAGACCAATTTTAACATTCACTAATGGTAAATGACTAAATTAAAAATTATTGGAACTGTTTAAACAATAAAGATTAAATTGAAAAAATAATCTATCATGAAGGACTAAAGTGTGTTATCAACCTTTAAATTAACTTGAATTTATGAAGCTTGAGGTTAGAAAGTTAAGACCGTATAATTTGTATTCCCATTATTATATAAAGAAATAAGTTACAGAAATATAGACACTTCTAATTCAACACAAGTTCAACTTCTTACCCTCGGGTTCACAAATCTAACCTATGAATCAAACTCTCAAGCAAAAGCTCACACAATTTGTTATCAACAATATCACTAACAAACCCTTTATCAGATCAATTTATTTGAACTCGGATAAGATAAGATAAGATTCCATGCAGAGAGCAATGTAAAAATGGCAAACAACTCATCCATTCTGATTCCATCATTTCCTTCTGTGATTGACGAAATTGCAATTGGCTCGAATTTCCCCTTCGTTTTTCCTGGTCAGCACTCCCACATTGCCCAATTTCACCATCGAAGCTGAAAACTGGCTGTCGAACAGAAACGGCTGATTCGCCATTAAATCCACAAACGAAGAAGTCCTTTCATCAGAAACCAGCGCCTGATCTGTCGAAAGAAGCCCTAATTTGTTCTGAAGGTTCGTGAAATACGCGGAATCGAACATCCTCGGGGTGGTGGAATCCAGAAAAACCAGGTCCATGT